CTGTGAACCCAGAGTCTGTCAAATTGTGCCAATATATTTTATCTTTTTGTTTGGCAAATACATCATGCAGGGAGGATGTCGATGTTGCATCGATTGAGGATGTGACGGGCATTCGAGAATAAATTTCCCCACTCCCCACCGGTTGCCATCACAATCCAAACCTTGTCGCCAAATTGCTTCACACACAGCTATTTCGTGGCAGGACTTTTTTTATGGAGTCTCTCAGGGCGTGTCTGAAGTGCAAACGTCGAGTTTCGTCAACTTTCGTCGACGAAACTCATCCGTGGGTCCCACGCGTTTTGCTGTCTGAAGTGCAGCTCGACATCCACTGACGAAACTTGGCGTTCGTACACTCGTCGGTGGATGTCGAACAGTCCTGTCGGTCAGGTTTTGTAGTTACTGTTGCCATCGTGGGCACCTAGAATTTCGTCAGCCACGTCAGGTCAACATTGATCCACTCGATCGCAGTCACACCAGTCAATGTCGGCGTATTTCAAATTCATCAACACGTCAGCTACTAGCTGACCTGTGATCGTCAGAATATGCGCGCAAACAGTGCTTGGGATCTGCCACGATGTCAACGAAATTTGGGATACGAGAACCCACGCCACATGTTGCGCCTCGTATCAATTGAAAAGATTGACGTGCAAAATGAGAACAAGATTGTTCAGCAAGAGTTGTTCGTGAGAGCAAGATTGAGGTGCAACATTGGTGCAAGAATCCTTCCCGACACATCTACTACTAGTTCTCCATCCATTAACAACTATCTTCATTTCATTAACTTCTAAAGAACATGTTTCTTGATTGTTACTTAGTGCTATCACAGGTGAATTAGTATATGCGTTTTCTCCAAACCGAGATACACAGTATGTCGTCTCAAGACAACGAGCTTGGTGAGGGATCATTTACTCCAGTGAACAACTCAAATGATGTCTCGACGCAAGAATCCACTACTAACCAACGAGTTGCTGGAAATGCGGCTCCAGGAAACGCCCCCCCTCGGATTTCATGGTTGAATCGCCTGCCGCGTCCAGACGCGGAATTGACCGATGAGGACCTGCTAGCAAACTTCTTCCCGGATGACGAGGGTGGTGTTGATGACGATGTACCAGGGGTGCTGCAACCACCGTCAACTAGTACACCCGCAGCTACTCAACCTGGTGTAGTGCCATCTCAACCAGTCCCTGCGCGTTCACCAGTCCCGTCAAGAACTCCCCGAGCACCTACAGGCGGGCAGGCTTTGGGAGGCCATGGCTGAACGTATGGCACGAGTACTTGCTAGCACTTTGAGAGAAGTGCTTGAGAGCAGCAATGATAATTTTACCCGACTTACCCGTGAGCTGGTGAACGAACTGAAGGATGCGCCTGACGCCAAGAAGCGAAAAGATAAACAGCCAGACGATCCCGCCGGCGCATAGGTGAGAAACCTGGTGTTATTGAGAAAAGGTGTTGTGCAAGTGCAGCTGGTCCGCGCAACCACCACCGATCACGATCGCGAGGCACACAGGTACGAGGCTTGGTGCTGAGCCCCAATTCGATATTATGTAACACGACGCATGCCGCTACAACATTCTGCACATTCTTGACGTTGTATTCCATGCACTTATGCAAAATACGCCATTTCATTTTTAAGCGACCATTGGTCCGCTCAACTATCATCCGTGACCTGCTCTGTTGTTTGTTCCAGATGCGTTGCGCCGCGCCCAAGAGGCGTCCCATCAAGGCCTTAAATGGGACATAGGTGTAGAAGCGAAATCCATATGCTGCATCCGCTACAAGGCAATAATCGTACAAATCCCCTCCATCAATTTTCAGTCTTGCTGGAGAATTCTCAAAGATCCTAGAGTCGTTGACTGATCCTGCCCAGCCAACAAAGTAGTCCCATATTTTTCCGCATGCGTCTACTATCAATTGTAGAGTGATAGCAAACTGTCCCTTTCTGTTACGATAGTCACTCTTGTGTTCCCCTCCGACACGGACCTGAATAAATGTACCATCTAGTGCTCCAACTATGCCGGGTATACCACCTATAGCTCTAAATTCTTGCTCCATCCGCACGAGCTCGTCTTGTGTAGGCCACGATACCCACTTTGGTGAAAGAACATGGATTACGTGATCCACAAATTTCTCGCATATGAATGAAGCCTCACACCGACTGATTCCATAAACTTCTGACAACATTCGATAGCTCCAGCCGTGGCCCAAACGATGTATAGCTGCTGCTAGTTTGAGCTCTGGTGGTAAGGTCCCATGACTATTACGCGACATTACAGCTCGGTAGCTGCGCAACAAGTACCTGAATACATGTTTTTCCATCCTGAATACATTGTAAAACTGCTCTGGACGAGATCGGCGCACAAACCCTAGCCACGTCTCCCTGGCCGCCAGCATCTCCTTGCGGATATTGAGCCGATCAGATTGGAGAAACAACAGGTAAGTCACTTCACTAAGGATAACTTCCAATGCCTTTACAAATGGCCGCAAGACTAGCTCAAAATAACCATGCCGCAACCAAGTTAAGATGAGTAGTAACTGCAATACATCCATGTCTGATATGGTCTGACGAATATTAACTCGTTGAACCTAGAGGAGTCTTGGAGTCAGAATGTTATGTGCCTGCTACGTTTGCGGATGACGAATGGTTTCAAATGTCTGCAATGGAAGAAATAGTCCTAGGGTTTGAAAGAGTGGGCGTGGAATTTCTTGACCCATGTGTCCAGATTTCTCAACGAGGCGCCCTGCAATTGCACGCATGTCAAACTCTCAACTGTGCAGAACTGGACAGACTAGTGTGTGACGAAATCCACGACACAAGCAGGTGCCTTTCGCTATTCGTATCCACGTTGGCATTTTCGGGCAGTGGAAACAGTGGCGAAATTCGCACGTGCTGTTTTTTTGTCGTTTGGGTGTCTGAAGTGCAAAAACGGGAAAACGGATGTCGAGTTTCGTCAACTTTCGTCGGGATTCGTCGACCAAACTTTCGTCGGCGAACGTCAAAATTCACTTCAGACACGCCCTCAGTGCTACAATTAGCAGGAACATGGTTTTTGAATCAACAATGCGGTATGAACATTAGAAAGAACTGTGACCCAATCCCACCCCTGTGACTGGCTGGAGTTCGCTCCTTGTAACGACGTCAGCAGCGGGCTCTGCGTGGTGACAGGAAACTTCGATTGCGGTACAGTAATTATGCTCTACGGCAATGCGCTCTGCTCATCTGCGTCGGCCCGCATGTTAGGGAATCTCGACTCGACGAGAGCCAATGAAATCCGACACGTCATTCTATGAAGAAAGCCAACGACCATCGATCGTAGCCACAGTGTCCTGAATTCTTGGGGCCCTGGCATCCTAGATTTTCCCTCACCAGACGGAACCATTCTGGACCGAGTGTTTCACACTGTTGTCGAAGCGTCCTTGCTTTGCAGTATGGATCTCGACCAGGGCTGTCGATTGGTTTGGAGTCAGAACTTGAGAGGCTGAGGTGCCCCAAAAGTTGCCCTGAAATTTCCGGGCTGAGAGCAAACCTGGCACTTGAAATCAGGGCTACCAACTTTTCTGCACCTACGCCAAGGAAAACCTACATCTCTTCGGGTCCCTATCCTAGGCGAACTACTAAGAGCCAGCTAGGCAGTAGGCTGAGGTACGAAACATGTCGATGGATTTGACGGGGGAAGGGAAAAGGAAGTAGGGGAGTGGCTGGGAGGAGGTGGGGGGACTGGTGAGCGAATGGGAGGGAGGGAGGTATTAGTTTGGGACGATAAGGGCTAGCCGCGGGATCTGCACTTGAAATCCGGGTTAGGCCCACAACCAGCACTTTGAGGGAAAGGGCTGCCCTCAAAGCCAGTCCTTTAAATTAGGAAGATGCGCCGAACCAAACCCTTAATGTTCAGGGCATTAAGGGCATTTGCCCTTGAATCGTCAGCCCTGATCTCGACTCGACAAGGAAGCAGGCTGCCCAATGCGGGATTTGGTGGTGTTCCGCCAACAGAGGAAGCACACCATGCTTGCGCGATCTCCGCGCGCACACCCTTGCCCTCTCAAACAATTGTTTCCAAGCCTCGTCCGTACCAGATCTTGCGACTTGATAATCAGGGCAACTGAGCCGCCGATTCCTAGCAGCTGCTGAATCAGAGCGCCCCAAAACCTTGAATGGGTCAAGAATCGTCCGAGCCTCAGCCCCACAAAGCCTGTACCTGTAATTCCACCCAGACCAACCTCGTGTCCAATGAGATTTCGACCAGCACAATGGTTTGGGGGCACCAACAACACTGATTTCAAGCCTGTATTCGTGGTGCCCAAGCCAACTTGAGTTCCCCGTTCTCCCCCCCATTTTCCCCCTTTCCCCGGCTCCCCTTCAATCTCGCCCTATCCTACCAGAGAAACCTGTTCAGCCTCCTGTCGTCCAATCCCAAGGTCCTGTTTTTCATCAGCCTTTTCTCTCTCAGGGGGCTACAGAAGGCGTTTATTGTGTCTTCAATATCCAGTTACACATTTCCTTTTTAGCTCCCTGATCTGGAAAATTTTAAAGCACTTACTTCAGGTTGTGCGAAGGTCTGGTGGAGATGGATCTGCTAATGCTCGTAACGAGCGTTTTCCGCGCTGACGTCTCGATATCCCCGGCCCAGGCGACGTGGTTCGGGGTAGCTGCTGCAGTGACCGTTGTTGGCGCAACCACCTTCGTTCTCTCATCCATCGGCAAGCCCGAGGTGAAAGGCAAGTCCACCACAGAGCTCAGCGGAGGAAAGCTGAAGAAGGATGAAGTGGCTAACGGCTGGACTAACTACAACAAATACTTCCAACAAAATCCTGGCGAAGGAGTCACCGAAAAGAGCCAAGCTCCTCAATTTGTCGACACATTTTACAATCTCGTGACCGACATTTACGAATGGGGGTGGGGCCAGAGCTTCCATTTCTCGCCTGCTCTCCCCGGGAAGTCGGATAGGGAGGCGACGATCGCTCATGAGGAGTACATTGCGACTATATTGAAGCTTAAGCCTGGAATGAAGGTTCTGGACGCGGGATGCGGAGTCGGCGGACCAATGCGCGCGATCGCGGCCAAGTCCGGGGCGAATGTTACCGGGGTTACTATTAACGAGTATCAAGTGGAGCGTGCTCAGCAGCACAATGCCCGGAGAGGGTTGGACAAGCTGTGCACGGTGGTCCAAGGGAACTTTCTTGAGCTACCATTCGAGGATAACAGCTTTGATGCTGCTTATTCCATCGAGGCCACCTGCCATGCTCCTAAGCTGACTGACGTTTACGGCGAGATCTTCCGCGTGCTGAAACCCGGCCAGCTTTACGCGACGTACGAGTGGGTGAAAACGCACAAGTACGACCCTGACAACAAGGAGCACGTTAAGATTATTGACGACATCTGCTACGGAAACGCGCTTCCGGAGCTTCGGTCCTACAAGGAGATCGTGGAAGCTGCTGAAGCCGTGGGGTTCGAGGTTATTGACAACAGGGACGTCGCTGCTCCTCCTGCTCTCCCCTGGTGGACTCGTCTCAAGATCGGCCGTATCGCGTATGCTCGCAATCACCTGCTCGTGAAGATCGTGTCGATGCTCAACATTGCTCCCAAGGGATTGGTTGACGTTCACAACATGCTGACGACGGTCGCTGTGCATCTGACACAAGGAGGCGAGACCGGGATCTTCACTCCCGCACACCTGCTGCTGCTCCGGAAACCCGTTGCCCCGGCCTCCACTTAAATGTACGTATAATTGCGAGCCTTTTTTTACCGAGCTGATTCAAGGTTTTAGATTTGGGATCTGGATTAAAATAAGGAGTCTTAGATGTTGTCTATTCTAATTTCTGTCTTGCTCCCTTGCCCCCCTTTTCCCACCTCCCCCCTCTTCCCTCCCCTGTAAACTCCAGTAGAATTCTGTGTCGCCTACCTGAGTGCTCAACCATGAATAACCCGATGACCAACGCACGCACTCGCGGGTGCTGTCGCGGGTGTTTAGTTCGCGTGGGACGGTGTGTGACCCTGTTTTTCCTCTGTTTTTGTGTGTGTGTGCTACTTAACGTATTCCGCATCGCTCTCGCGTACTCCGTAGCGTAGCATGCGTGCGAGTGTGAAAGAAATGTGAAGAGGGACCTGTTTGTGGGGCCAAAACCCGCTGATCCGTAGACGTTCTTCGTCATCAGCTTGTGTGTCCTTGGGTTTGTGTCATTTAACGAGCAAAGCCAAGCTCTTGGCGAACGACTCTAACAACCTGCAACATTGATGCTTGTCGTTTTGAAAGTTCCCACTTACAAAAACGAACAAACCAACCCCATTCCCGCTTCCACGACTTCGAAATGCCGCCTGTTTCTTCATCTCCTCGCATTCCCTGCAAATCTACCCGCATCCCTTCTCATTGGCCTCGACGCACCACATTCCTTTCCTCCCATACCGCTCACGTCTCCTCTCCCCCTCTCTATCCCTAATCGTCCCCACCATGACGCTGTCTCCGACCTGCTGTCCCCCACTTCCTCAGTCCTTCGCCTCCTATACCCGAAACCCCAAACCCTTCGCCCCTTCTCCTGTTCCCCGCCCGCCTACTGCACCATTTCCCTCCCCTTCCCCCTTCACCAATCCCTTACCGCGCCCTTTCTCAATCTCTCTACCCTCTTCAACTTCCCCCTTCTCCCCTCTTTAACCCCACCTCCCTCCTCCACCTCCTATTCCCTTTCCACCCCTCCTCCACCCCTCCTCTTCCCTCTTCCACACCTCGTCCACCCCTCGTCTTCCCTTCTCCACCCCTTATCCCGTCCCCCTGTCTCAAAGCTTTTCATTACTTCTCCATTCAATGCTGTTGCCCACCCACTCTCTCCAACACTCCCTTCCTCACATCTCGTTCTCCATTCCCTCATCTCGCGCGCCCCTCCTCCTCGTCTTCCTTTGTTTACCACACTTCTCCCTTCCTGCCTCCTTTATTCACTCGTCACTTCACCTCCCTTTTTGCATCCGCTTGTTGTTTCTTCCTCTCTTGTCTCCCTCACTCCCTCCCGCTCCGCCACTTTATCCTCCCCTCCCTCCATCCCGCCTGCCTCCCTCCCGGTCGCCCTCCCTCTCTCCTTCTCTCATTCCCTCCCTCACTCCGGCTCTCTGTCTTGTTCTCTCTGTCACTCACTCTCTCTCTTTCTTCCTCCCTCCCTTCCCCCGTTAATCCCTCTGCTCCCTCTGTCCATGCAACCATCCGATTCGCTCCTCCCTCTCTCCCTACCCCTATCCCCTTTGCATCCATCTCTCTATCCCTTCGTCCCAACACTTGGCCCTGTACTTTCATCTCTATTAGGTACCTCTTTCCTGTCCTCCCTCTGTACATTCTCCTCCTCTTTTGCCCCCCCTCCTACCACCCACATCTCTCACTCCTATCCTTTGAACCCCACTTTTCTGAACATCCCACTCCCGCTCCTCTCCTTCCCACCCGCCTACCCACACAATGCATCTGCCACTCCCTCCTCCCAAGCTCTACTACCAAACATCTGTACACAGCATGCATGTGTGCCTGTGGTCGCTCACATGGAGAACAGTAAATACTCGTTTGAGGGCAGCTGTGCCACCGTGGACCAGAGAATCACTTTCTCGCTGCATGCATACCCAGGATGGGGTGTAGTTGAAAACGTTCCTCAAGCTGTTCTAGTGCGTCTATTTCGTTCACAGTACCGTAAATGGAAACAGAAATATGCTTTCCACAATGAACATGTCGAGCACAGGTATAGTTCACGTATAGGTAATCTATGTCAAATGTTGTAGCTTGTAGTGAGGTCTGTCTTAGGTGGTACAGATGTTAGGGTATGTTATATGTACTCCAACCCACATCAATGAACCAATACTTTCATTCTTGACATGGTATCACCTGGGTTAGGATCCTGTGGAGATACCGTTCCTCTCGTTCACGTCCGTAGCGCCCGAGCCTGTATCCTAGTGCCCGTTACGCTCGTACTGTCCCCTAGCGCCTATCGCGCCTGCCGTTACGTCGCTCTCGTGCCCTCGCGCCCGCTGCGCCTGCCGTTACGTCACTCTCGTGCCCTAGCGCCCGCTGCGCCTGCCGTTACGTCGCTCTCGTGCCCTAGCGCCCGCTGCGCTGTCCGTCCGCGTCGCGCCGTCCGTCCCGTCCCGTCCGTCCGCGTCACGCCGTCCATCCCGTCCCGTCCGTCCGTCCCGTCCCGTCCGTCCGTTCCGTCCGTCCGTCCGTCCCGTCCCGTCCCGTCCCGTCCCGTCCCGTCCCGTCCCGTCCGTCCATCCCGTCCGTCCGTCCCATCCCGTCCCGTCCGTCCGTCCCGTCCCGTCCCGTCCGTCCGTCCCGTCCGTCCGTCCCGTCCCGTCCCGTCCCGTCCGTCCGTCCCGTCCTGTCCCGTCCCGTCCCGTCCCGTCCCGTCTGTCCTGTCCCGTCCGTCCGTCCCGTCCCGTCCCGTCCCGTCCCGTCCCGTCCGTCCCGTCCCGTCCGTCCGCGTCGCGCTGCCCGTCCGCGTCGCGCAGTCCGTCCCGTCCCGTCGCGTCGCGTCGTGTCGCGCTGCCCGTCCTGTCCCGCTGCGTCGCGTCGCGCTACCCCTGCCCGTGGCGCTGCGTCCTCCTAGTCCAGCAGTGTTGCGCCCTACTCTGTGTCCCGTAGCGCCCTACCCTATGTCCTGTAGCGCCCTACTGAGTCGCTCTTTGTGAGTCGCTCTGAGTCTCTCTCTGTGTTTCAGCAGCAACACTTCCCACATCTTTGCTTTTGCAATGGCGACCCCTAGGGTTCTTCGTTTTGACGCTGACGGTAGACCGCTCGAGTTTTCGGTCTGGCTCCTACGCGCGCGTCGCCTTTTAGAGAGTCAGGTCCAGGCGGGCGAGTCCCTCTGGGCGCACGCTACTGGTGACCTTCCTGCGCCCGACGACCCTACGCCTTTAGGCCCTGCCCCTGACGACGCCGCCAGAGACCGCTTTACCCGCCAGCGTGCTGAACTGACGGCGTGGAAGTCGCGTGACGCTGCGGCCTGCATCGCTCTTAGCAGCCTCCTCCCTGAGTCTGAGGAGGCCCACTTCACTCAGGTTCGCACTGCTAGTGAGTTCCTGACTGCGATCAAGGCCCGCTACGCTACTCCCACCACTGTCTCCCTTGGCCGCCTCTTCCTACCGTTCTTGTTCCCTGACCTCGCCTCGTTTGAGCGCTCTGCTGACTTGATTGCTCACCTCCGCTCGCTCGATTCTAGCTACCGCGCTGCTTGCACTGACGCACAGCTTGCACTGCTTCCCCCTCCTATGTCGATTACTATCTACTTCATTGCCACTAGCCTCCCTAACCGCCTTGCCTCGGTTCGTGACACGCTTCTTCTGAAGCACCCTAGTGAGCTCACTATCGAGGTCCTTGAGTCTGCGCTCAAGGACGTTGAGAGCAACCTCCGCTCAGTAGCCTCCGCCTCTGGTGCTGTGCCCCCTCCACTGTTTCACGGGTGCACTGTCCCTCAGCTGCCCACTTTTACTGCCTCGCTAGCCACTGCCACTACTGACGTGACCGCAGCTGCTGTTATGACTACGTCGCGGTCTCGAGGTAGGGGTGGCATGAGGGGCGGTCAGGGTGCAGGCGGCGGCGGCGGTGGCGGCGTTGGCGGCGGAGGTGGTGGGAGTGGCGTGCCGACCGGTGGCGGCGGGAGCGCAGGGCCTGGAGAGGCGTCTCGTGCAGCGGCCAGTGACTCCCCTACTGCAGCTGGTGGAGGCGACACCCGGACTCGTCAGCCTCCTCCTGGTCTGTCGGCCGCGGTGGGTGGAGCAGCGGCGTGGTACCTGGCCCAGCGGCAACAGCAGGTGCAGCAGCAGCTGCCCCTCCCCTTGCAGCAGCCCCCGCAGCAGCAGCGGCAGCAGCAGGTTTCGGGGCCAGGACAGCGTCAGCCTCAGCGAGGTGTTGTTCACCCTTCGTGCACCTATCAGGTTCTGACAGGTGCTCGCTGAGGCCAGCCTTGTGGTCGCACCCACCCTCCTGGTCAGTGCTTTGCTCAGCTCACTGACACGGTTCGCTTGGCCTTCGGCGTTGGCGGCCCTGCCCCTGACTGGTTACCTCTTGTTCAGACGTACGGCTCCACTCTTTGGGGCATGTCTGCTTCTCAGTTGCTTGATCTCTTAGGAACTCCTCATGCTATGTATGCTGTTGTTGACTCTAGTGCTTCTGACTCTGTTTACTCGAGTGTTGTTCGCTTAGGTGCTAGTCTTGCTGAGTTGCCTGTTGCTAGTGTAGGCACTTGTGTAGACACTAGTCCAGGCGCTACTTCAGAGGACGCTTCGCTGTCTTTCACTCTGGACTCTGGGGCTTCGCACTGCTTCTTCTGCGACCACACGACACTTACTCCACTTCCTGCGCCAGTCTCTGTGGCCCTGGCTGATCCCACCTCGGGACCAGTCACTGCTCGCTACACCACTACTCTTCCTTGCCCTGCTGTTCCCTCTGGGTCTCTGACTGGCTTCCACGTCCCCTCGTTCTCGAGGAACTTGGTGGGCGTGAGGCCTCTTGTGAGTCAGCACGTAGGTGTGTGGATTGAGCCCTCTGGTGAGACGGTGGTTTGTGTTGACGGTGACACTTACTCGCCTCTTGCCACCTTTACTGCCGAGCCGGGCTCTGGTCTCTACACACTTCACACTGGCTCTGGTGGGCAGCAGCAGCAGCAGCAGCGGCAGCAGCAGCAGCAGCGACTCCTGCCCCCGGCCCCGGTTACTTCCCCCAGTCTGGTCCCTGCGTCTCACCAGGTTGCTGCGTCCTCCCAGGTAGCTGTGTCTGGTCAGGTTCCCGTGTCTGGTCCAGTTGCTGCGTCGTGCTCCTGCCGGTCGCTTGCACACCCCACCGTTCTGTGGCACCACCGGACGGGGCACCCGTCCCTCCCTCGTCTGCGCGCTATGTCTCGTCAGCATCTTGTCTTAGGCC